GTGTCATGTCAGTCTTATGCACACCCCTTCAAGTAAAGTGTTACCGTATTTTCTTAATTATATACGGGACCAAAATTAACAAGGACCAAATACAAGTGAAATTGCTGAATAATACACTCATTGTCATAAATACTATTGTATTAAGCACACAATTTCAACTGTTATGAAGCAAAACAAAACAAAAAATATCTTGGGATAAAGCACAAGAATGAATGAATGAATACATAAAGCCATTTACATTTTTGTCTTTAAAACAAAAGCAGCATTTAGTTTTTTTTTTTATCTTTATTTATTAAAATGAAACTTAAGAATATACACACCTCAACTTCCTTCTCTGAGAGCGGGGGTGCGCTGCAACAAAAAAGAGAGGAGTTGTAAGGACTTTTTGAGGGGTTTTAATAGTAAGGAATTGACCAATCTATGATCAAATGATGGTTTTGTGAACACACCATCCAGGTAAACCTCTGTGCAGTTTGAGTTTGCGTAGCATGACGTCTGAAATGTTGGGCATAGCGTCAGGTTTCTCTTTGGCCTCCTCTTCACTGGGAGAGCTGGTGAGCGGAGAGGATGGACCTGAGAGATAAACTGATTACTAAGGTTTAACACAGCACATTTAAGAGAACTGTAAAAGAAAATCATTACGAGCACTATGTGCTAATCGTGACACATATAGCGCCACCTAGCGGTGTAAGAATATAGTTACATTGCATATGTATTTCACACAATGTAACTCAGTGTAAAAACAAATAGATAACACATTAAAACAGAAGTCTATGAAAATTTAATCCCATAAAATATGGGTGTGGAAACCTGAAAGGTGGAAAGCCTCACATATCTGCTCCATGTTCTTCTGTTGTATTGCTAACTTGCACTGTTATTATATGACTTATATTATGTAGTCCCTTTGAATTTTTAAAGCTTTTTGTGCATAAGATATGTTGTTACAGACAATTTTAATGTGCACTGTTAGCTGTGAGAGTAAGTGTTCATTAAATCAAATTAAAACAACAGGCAAACACATTAAATGTTAAAATATACATGTCATAATATTTTACATACATCATACTGTACATGTTCATGTGAGACTATGAAATAAAAAAAGACTTTCTGATTTTGTCTGTGTAAAGTTGTAAACACATTTTTCAAATAAACCCAGCAACTTCTGCAGGATACATGCGAGATGTCAGAAAGGGACATTATAAAGCGGATGGTTCCGGTCCTTGATTCTGACTGGTTGAGCCGTGTTCAAAGCTGTTGTAAATTACTCTACAAACATACACCGTTGTGTGCATTGTGTACAACTTTGTGTGTTGCTTGGCACAACTGTTTCTGAGGAGCTACATTGTTTGGTGGAAGAATACTGTTTTTATTAATATTATTACACTTTATTTGCTCCGTTTTATTTTGTGAAACCTAACTACGTATATGGAATAACTGTTTTATAAAAGCAATAAGCAATACTCTGCTTCGCCTCGTGCCTAACAATGCCCCTTAGCTGTTATAAATTCACTGTAAACAGGGCCGTCCTTAGGGGGGTGCAACTGGTGCGGTTGCATGGGGCCCCGGCGCTCGAGGGGGCCCCAGGGGGACCCCTAATCCCACGCAATCGCGAACGGACCAAGGGGGGCCCCGCTCCCTAACTCGCACCAGGACCCACGTCAGATAAGGACGGCCCTGACTGTAAACCACGGCTTCTTGGGGCTTACTGCTTTAGTTTACACATGATTTATGTAAGTAACATGCAACCAGAAATTCATCTGACAACAGCTCAAATAACAACATCAAGGTTTTAATAAAAAAAATCTTGCTTTGATTCTTTTTAAAAACTGAGAGACGAATCAAAACGAGTTGTAACAGACACAGTGCCACAGATGCTGCCAGTTGAGCTTGAGCAGAGGCAGTGTTGATTTATTTTTTCATTTTGATTTTAGTCAACATTTTAAGCCTCGTTCAGACTGTCGGCCCAAACCCGATTTTGTGCATATCCGGATGGAATCTGATTTGAATAACTGACTGTCCACACAGTGTATCGCAACTGTTCATATCCGATTTGTGTGTCCATAAGCACGCTTTCGTTTTACTGAATGTGCGTTGACTACTATGGCAATGCCGTTGCGCTGTTATGCCTACATTAAAAACAACAATAACAGCAATAGTTTGCAATACAGATATTGTCTTACAACATGACAGCATGTTGCCGTCGCGCTGGATTATTATTATTATTATTATTATGGATTTCGTCTTATGAGGCAGCATCAGAAACGCAGGAAGCTGGAATGAGAGTATTTATTCCGTGCTGCCATCGCCGCTTGTTTCAACACTCAAAGAGGTGAGTATACTAGTAGTATATTGTCTTTTTCCACTTGACTTTGACAGTTTGCAACAACACACGCTTGTTTCTGCAAAAACATTTACCGTATTGACCCGAATATAAGACAATGTTTTTTTCTTGGAAATACATCTGAAAAAACGCGGTCGTCTTATATTCAGGGTCTAGACCAGGGGTCACCAAACTCGGTCTTGGAGGGCCGGTGTCCTGCAGTGTTTAGCTCCAACCCTAATTAAACACACCTGAACCAGCTAATCAAAGTCTTATTAGGTATACTTGAATCTTCCAGGCAGGTGTGTTGAGGCAAGTTGGAGCTAAACTCTGCAGGACACCGGCCCTCCAGGACTGAGTTTGGTGACCCCTGGTCTAGACTTTGACATGTCAATAATACACCCACAACAATAGGTGGCGCCAAATACGCATAAAACGAGTGTGCCATGAAATACGTAATGTAACGCGTGTTGTAAAGATCACGAGTAAAAACAAAAGAAAAAGAAAAGCTTACAGCTGCATGAGTCGTGACGGTCACATTAGCCTGATGGGACCAAACTCCCTTTGTGATTTTAAAACGTAAGACAGTACCCAGATTTGAAGACTATAAGATTTAACTTCTTTAAATGTCTGACATGTTTACGTTTTACGTGGCATGAGAACGTGAAAAAGCTACGCTAAATCCGATCTGAGCGGTCAGACTGAAACGAATTTCCAGGAATGCATTTTGAATGGGATTCCAAACCTCATACGAATGTAGTTCGAAACGGATTTGCACAAATCGGATTTCATGTAGTTCGTTGCTAAATATGATCGGATTTCAAACGGATTTGGACAAAAATCGGATTTGGGCTGACAGTCTGAACGAGGCTTTAGTGATTCTGTTGTGTTTTGACATTTTTATTCAATTTGTCTCTATCGTTCTTATTCATTTTTTAGTTATTTTAGTCATCAGAAAATTTGAAATTCTGCTTTTCTAGAAATTCCAGAAAGCTAGCTGAAATAAAACAAAATCCGATCTGAGCGGTCAGACTGAAACGAATTTCCAGGAATGCAATTTGAATGGGATTCCAAACCTCATACGAATGTAGTTCGAAACGGATTTGCACAAATCGGATTTCATGTAGTTCGTTGCTAAATATGATCGGATTTCAAACGGATTTGGACAAAAATCGGATTTGGGCTGACAGTCTGAACGAGGCTTTAGTGATTCTGTTGTGTTTTGACATTTTTATTAAATTTGTCTCTATCGTTCTTATTCATTTTTTAGTTATTTTAGTCAGAAAATTTTCATCAGAAAATTTGAAATTCTGCTTTTCTAGAAATTCCAGAAAGCTAGCTGAAATAAAACGAGTTTAATTTTTATTTTTTTTTAATAATTTCAGTTCATGTTTATCTTAAGTAATATAATTTTTTATAGTTTTATTTCAAGATTTAATTAGTTTACGACAATAACCCTGAGCAGAGGGATGCTAAAGAAAGTGTCAAGGAGCAGAACAACGCCTACAGCCAGAAGTATTTCACCCAAAATTGAATCATCATTTACTCACTCTCATGTCATTCCAAAAACTGTTTGACTTACTTTTTCTACGGAACACAAAAGTTATCCTGTAGAAAAAAATTTCTAAATGTCGTAATGTTTTTGTCCATACAACAAAACCTTCAAAATCTTATTTTGTGTTGCAAAGAAGAAAGTCATGCAGATCTGGATTGACTTGAGGATGAATAAATGATCGTAAAATGTTTATTTTTTGACTAACTATCTCTTCAGCGATATATAAAATAATACTGCAATAAGCTTATGCACAGACTGAATCAAGATGTTCACACACAGTTCATACCTCGTTCCTGCTCGGTCGTTTCATTCAGGTCAGGAAGCTTTGAGCTGGAGATGCTCTGGTTACGCATCAGTTTGTGCTCCTAGAGAAGGAATGAAAACCGTAGTGATTTTACTAAATCGGGGACATAACATTCCCTTTACTCTGCCAACTGGGCTCAAACCTCAGAGAAAGCCATACAAGGAACATTAAAAACTACTAACATAGCATGGTTACCAGGTTGGCCAAAGACAACAAAGGATTACCTCGCGCAATTTGGACAGTTTTTGAACGCTCCCAGGTGGCACAGGGAAGTCCTTGTACCCGGAGGACTTAAACAGAGACTCCCTTGATTTGTCTGAGAGATTGTCCTCCCCTTTGGGAGCTGTATTCCTCATGTTCATGGAGCCCACCGTGTCCCAGGAGACGGCTCTCATCAGAGGAGGGAAGGCCCCTATTGTTTTGATTTCGGCCGTGCATGGGGCTTGCTGTGTAGGTGGCCGGGGGACGGGTTTGGCTACTCCTGTAGCTGGAGGTTGACTGATGCCACAGCCAGAAGTCTCTTCCTTTTTCTGGGCCGCATGTTCAGAGTTCTTCCCCTTGTCCGCTGGTGCATGATGGTCTGGCTTCTCCTTCTGAACCACAGCGGGATCTCTGGCTGGTACAGTGGTGGCATAACGCGGGGTTAAAGTCCCAGAGGATACCTTTCGCTTGTCACTGGGCATCCAATCTACTAGCCTCGTGAAGGTCTGAGGAAGAACAAGAACAAGAGAGTTAGTTTAATGATTAAGAACAAGTGCATTAAAACGGTCAGAATAATGTTACAATACAGTTCAGTTTATAACATTAAATCCAGTGAACATTTATCTAGGTTACTGTTAATATAATGTTTTATATTATTTATATTGTATTGTGTATACATTACTTAATATAATATATTGTTAAATCATGTTTATTAAAATACATTTATGCTAATTTCTACTTTAAACATAAAACTGTGTATGTATAGAAAACAATATAGTACATAAAATGTTTATGTAAAATTACTATTTATAAAAATAATAAAAAATATTTGGTATTTAAAAACTACGTTAACGCATTGAACTTTACTGTAGAGTATTATCAAGGGGTCAAATAATTGTATTATTTAAAATAAGACTATATTTTACATTGTTTATACATTTTAAATGGTTGTAAAAACTGTAAAAGATCATTATCTTTCATTGTGCTTTAAAATGCTTATTTTGATGTGTTGACTAACATATTAAAGCACAAGTACTTGATTATAATTTCACCTGTTTTGTTTATTTGATTTGAAGTTAACATATTGTAAATGCACTAATTCATTAAATATGTGTAATAACAAATATATATTAAAATATGTTGTACTTTTGAATATATTTCAAATGTGTTTCAACAGAAATTACTTTTAAATGTGTTTTAATTCCGAGTGCTTGTCAGTATTCGGAAGTAAATTTTAACCATATTTCAAAGACAATAAACGTAATTAAGTGGGTCAAAAAAGCACTCTAAAGTTCAGCTAACTGCTACCTAATGTAAATGTAAACTATTATACATTTTAATTTAATGCAGTTAACATACATTTCAGTTTACACATAAGTTTACACTTAAGTATATTCTTTTAAAGTAAATTAAAAATGCAATTTTTTAAATTCTAAAATTCTTTTTCACGAAGGCCCTGATCATTTTGGTCCAACAATGTCAACATGAGAACAGAAATGGCCACGATCAACTACATTGTGACTGTTTTTGGTGCAAAAAAACTTAAATAAGATTCGAAGTAAAAATAATATGTCCAATTTAATGTAAATTCGCACACATTTACTAATGTTTTAATATCTGAAAGACTGAAGTAGAAAGATTCAAGTAAGAAGAGCCAAAGATATAACATTTGTTACACAAACCTCCTGCTCTGGTTTAGTGGTGTCCCCTTGGTCATGGGTAGATGGTACCTCCAGATGCTGAAAACATACACAAACACAAACAATCCAATATTTATCATCACCAGGAGGACACAACATCAACACTATACAGAAGGGAATCTGAAGTGGCGCTCACCTTAGCTATGGAGGGACTACCTGGAGGAGTTGAGGTGACCTCAGGACCTGGAGGAGAAACAAAACCACTTAGCTTAGACCAACCATGGCTGGCATCTCTGTGGGCAAACGTGACTGAAAGCACAGCATGGTACCTAGCTGTGAGGGTGAGGAGAGGGAACTGCTTCTGGATGGTCTGGGGGAGGAGCATGGCGTTGGGTTTGGAGAGAGAGCTGTAACCCAAAGACACTGTTACCCAATTTTGGACATGCACTGACCATCATGATTTCAAAGTTTGGATATCACATTGCTTTATCTCTCATCGGCCTGTGAATGCGCTCAAGTCAGTACGCTGTAGCTAGTGTGCAGGATAAAGGAGGAATTTTGGCTGGTGCAAAAGACATTTGAGGACATGCGGATATGTACATGATGTTACAGTCTGATAAGCAAGGACGTCGCAAAAGCTAAAAATAAACAAGCTGCTTCTGAAATAAACATTTCAAAAACATGGACACAGTGAAACAAAAACAATGGCATTCACCACTTGGAAGAAGTTTTCTTCATTATTAATATCAACATAATATTTATATTATTATATAAATAATCTTCATTTGTTCAGTTGTTCTGTGCAGGATAAAGGAGGAATTTTGGCTGGTGCAAAAGACATTTGAGGACATGCGGATATGTACATGATGTTACAGTCTGATAAGCAAGGACGTCGCAAAAGCTAAAAATAAACAAGCTGCTTCTGAAATAAACATTTCAAAAACATGGACACAGTGAAACAAAAACAATGGCATTCCCCACTTGGAAGAAGTTTTCTTCATTATTAATATCAACGAAAAATGATGTTTATATAAATAATCTTCATTTGTTCACTTGTTCATTTTTCCCTGTCATTCCATTTTATTACACATAACTTAATTTCTGAACTTATATGTTTTGTTTTCTTTGTATGTGTGGATTACTTGGGTTGTTACCGACATCTGGGGAAAATTTCATTGAATCAATATAAAAGTTATTTTTCATATTGAAACTGTTGAAAATACACAACATAGTAAGTTGATCCACATATGACAGCCTCTGAACTTGGTCAATAATAATCTTATATACAGGCACTGGACTAAAAATACATTCAATCAGTCATCGCTCCCAAAATGAATTCAATGGGTAATCTTGTTAATGCTATAAATGAATTACAACAATAAAAGAAAATTTCATCATGAACATACATGAACAACAATATCACATTAAACCACAGAAATTCAAAAAAATTACATTTCCCTTACATTCAACTTCTAAAAGTGCATTCATCTTTGCCATGTTACATTCATTTAGTTGACTAGTGCTATACGCTGTATTAACAAAAACATTAATGGCATAAATAAAAACACTTACACTGACAAGCTACGCAATATCGCGTTCATAATCGAATGCGACTCATCTGCAATTATGAACGTGATATAGCAGTGATCTACGGCTCTGTATATTAAATGCCGCTCCATCTGAAAGCATGTGATGGAGATTTACTGTTAATCACAGAACCGGCTTTACTGACAAGATGCGTCCTAAGCCCTAAGTTTGTTTGTTGATCACAAAGTACAAAATAGATCAAATAAAACTAGGAAGCCACGTGTATTCAAAGCGCTTCCATTACTGTCTAGAGTGCGTGGAATGGTGCGCTGTGATTGATTGTTACTGTTTACAGTGCGTGGAATGGTGCGCTGTGATTGGTTGAGCGGATATATCGCATTCTGCAGAAAAGGGAGACTGGCGTTTGTCGCGCTTTGGAAAAAAAGGGTGAAAATATAAATTATGAAATATATAATAATTCAGCGGACATCGCATTTTGCGTAAAATAAAAAATGGACTTTTTTATGGACCGACCAGATACAATACTGATATTGGCGGAAACTCAATTTTTTTAAAAATTGCGTTTTATCGTGTTTTGGAACCAAACTCTTCATATATACAGTATATATATATATATATATATATATATATATATATGTGTGTGTAGTTAAAATTTTTTCCACATTATATTAGGCATTTTAATTAAGTTGGAATATTTTATACATGTTTTAATTAAGTTAGAATATTTTATTACATGAAATTACCTTAATTTAATCATAAATAAATAAGAAAATAAACAAACAAATAAATAAATAAATAACATATTCAAGTGTAAATTATGTGTAAATTACATTTTTTTGTTTGTTTGTTTAAATCAATTAAGTTTAAAAAAAGGCCCTCTACGGCCCCCGGTTGACAAACACTGTCCTAGACGGGAAAGTTATCATGTTTCTGTTGTACCTGTTGGAGATTCACTGAGACTACAGGTGGAGCGTCGGCCTCTGCGCTGCAGGAAGCGATCGCTGACTTTCTTGGCCTCCTCGAGCAGCTCCAGATTCTTCTGACGATCCTCTTCAGATAACTGCAGCTCAGGAAGCTGATCCTTCACCAGGTCTATCACGTGTCCATCATCATCTCAAACACAAATACACACACACAACCTAAACACAGCTGTAACACACACCAACTCGCCAACTTGTAGGAAGGAAACGACTTTAAGCTACTGCAGCTGTCCATAATGCATTACTTTAAAGCTTTAACCAAATGTAAACACATAAAGTCACAAACATTTTATCTTATAATATGCCATTTGAAAACAAATGTCTCTAAATACTAAATAAATATCTAAAGCAGTAAATTTTCACATTGGAGTGTGTAGTTGAACGTACCCACTGCGGTGATGGGACATGAAGATGCAGAATTTCGGGAGAGACGAGGCCTAGGGCTGTGTGGTTTGACACAGATTAAAACAAAACATTAAACCAACATTAAACCAACACATTCTCAACAAAACCGAGCAGGTTTATATTCAGCTAAAGTACAAACAGTGACTCTTTATGAGATTTTACACTGTCTGAATTACTAAAACTGCTGTTTAACGATTGGACAATAAAGATTTTTGGTAATCTTTTAATGGCTCTTGACATGAATACCTTGCTTTCTCCAGAGGACAGGGCTCTTGCTTGCTGACTTGTCTTGGAAGCACAATAGCTGGTGGAGTCATGGTTACATTCACCCTCTTGCTTTCAACTGGAGCATACTACAAAAAAAAAGGTCACATTCTTGGAGAGCAGTGAGGCTGAGGGTTTTAAATTTTTTAAACTGACACTTTTACTTTGAAGAGTTCAAAATATTTAGCTAAATATTCACATTCGGCATATTCAAGAAGAATTGGGGAATGTTCCCATTAAACTAAATGTGATCCGGCCTGTTCCTGTTTTAACTCACTGACGTGATACAAACAGAAATGTGGAATAAAAAGGCAAAAGTGACACAAAAGCTTGAACTTGCACATAATAAACAAACTTTTAAACACAAAATAATTCAATTTTTTCAATTGAATTCTATTTCTTCAATTTTGAAGAACACAGGTGACCAAACAGTTTTTGGTAGCAATTCCATAGAATTCTCTCTATGCTATGGAGGTTACCAACATTCTTCAAAATATCTTCTTTTGTGTACAATAGAAGAAAGAAACTCACAGGTTTGGAACAACATGAAGGTGAGTAAATTATGACAGAATTTTCATTTTTGGCACAATGTACATGTAGGGGATGTCAGGGATGCATGGCATATCAGCACTATATCGGTTACAGGACAATATCAGTTTTTAAATTCAGTTTCAGTAGTGGCCGATACTGGATATTTTTAGGAGTCAATATTTAATTGTTTCTGTCTAATTTAAAATTTAAATACTGACACATCTCATCATTAAGACAGTATAGTTTGAATGTCTTTTTAACTTATTGCTTCTTTTTGTTATTTTAGCCATAAATCTAGCTAGCTACTAGATTTGTGCTTGAAAAAAGGCCAACACAAAAATTTAATCTTAATTCAATATATATATAAACTGAAACGATTCTTAATATTGTATGCAGACTATGCTTACTTAAGTGCATATTTCAACCAGAAAACAAGACTAATTAAGATTTTTTTTTGTAGAGTACTGCAGCGGCAAAGAAGATAAATTAAGAGCAAACAGTAAGATGTGATGATTTTTCAACCACAGCATTCAGTCCTGAGGCAGTATGGGAAATTTCCAAACTGTACTGTGCAGCAGGTCCACTTTTTTAGCCCCTGCACAAACAATTTCACACATGCCAGGCTTACCAGCTCAAAACCCTTAGCTTTATCCCATGGGGAAAACATGTTGCGATAACATCCCCTTTACGAGAGGAAGCAAAATATTAGTCTTTGCAATAGTCCAATTACACTGTTGTTTTTATTTTTTTTCATTATTGCGTAATTCTGTAACTACTGATTTATAATTGATCTATGTAAATACTTGATTTTTTATTAAAGGGGTTATATGATGC